GGCAATACCATTACAGGCTTCAGCTCTGCTTCCCGCCGAGGCCTGCCATTGACAATCTGAACAGCCGAGAGATCTTTCTCTCTTCTAAAAACGATGAAGCAACTGAATCATCTTTTTCAATTTTATAAATTAAACACCGCGGAAATAGCTATAGCAAAAAAATTTATAAATGGAAAAAGTAAAGACACCAGAATTTCTTACTTTGGAAAACGTTAAATTATTTTTAGATTATTACATATTCTTTTAATTTTAAATTTTAATGAAATATGTTTATAGTTGATATTATACTTTATTGAAAATGGATGGTTTTCTTTTAAGGTTAACTAAAAATTAATATTAGTTTTATAAAGTTTGCAAAATATTTTTAGCCACCCCCTTCCCCCCCCCCCCCCCCACACACACACTTTTTATTTCCTTCCACAATTCCTGTGCATATATATTTTTATAGTATTGTACTATTTTAAATCATAAACGCTTCTGAGTAAAACAATTTATAACGTATTAATATTGTTTAATAACAAAATAAGTATTATTTAATTCTTTTATTTGTTAAAAAACCTTTTTATAAATTTATTTCTTAATAGTTTTCACTAATATTTTGAGTGAAGATAGAAGTCGTTCACAAATTACGTCACGCGATAGGAATGAAGAGGGAAGGGGTCCGCGATTTTGTGACGATTTGTAACAAGGGGAGGAGTATTCAATTTTGTGACGCAAAATTATTTTTCTAAGTTTTAAATTTAGAAATTTTAAATTTTAAATTGATTAGTAGTATGCCTAGTCAAACAAACAAAATTAAAAACTTTATATGGAACTATAGAAACGCAAGAAATAATGGTTGTTTTTAATGTATTTTTCTTATATCTACTTAAGTCAGTCTATGTTTGTAAATTTGTAACTGCAACTGCGGCTATATCAGTCATTTAATGTACGCATTGATCCACTTATTCTGTAGAGGTCAGTTTCCACTCATCCGTTTTTTTACGGGAACGGGATAGGGAAGGGAAAAATAATTATGTGAGCAAGTGTAGTTTTTTTCCGGATAAATTAAAACTTATATTACGCATGCTTACCCGTTCCCGTAGAAAAACGGATGAGTGGAAACTCACCTTAAAACTTTAAAAAATATAAACACTTAATAAATATGATTATTAATAAACAACAATAATAATTAAAACATATAAAACTACCTCAAAATAAAATATCAAATTCTGAAAAAATAATTTGAAGGAGAAGTTGAACCCGCTCTCTAGTTAGCCACGCCTTCTAACTCTTTTAGTAATCCACGGCCATTAGGGGTTATTATTATTACAAACTCATTGAGTTTGTAAAAATATTTTTACTAACTCAAAGAGCATGTCGTATTCTGATAAGCTTTTGTAAATAATTAAGAGAATTTAACTTCATTATAATGTTTCTAAGGGTTACCATAGGTCCTCTTTTTATGTAGGAGAGTTTGCTAAACTACATGACAGTCAATCATACTAGACTTAAATCACGGCGGCAAACGTAAAAATTAAGAACTAAATGTAATTAATAACTAAGAGCAAAAACATAATTTAGCGCGAGTTCCTTCGTTAAAAGAGGACGTCTGGTAACCATACCCAGCGGGCATTTGTTTCGTTCTAAATGTATTTTAAATGTCTTTTAAACGTTTAAACGTTTAAAAAAAGTTTAAAAGACATTTAGAACGTAACTTTTAAAAAACAAATGCCCGTAGGGTAATGTTTTTAGAAAAAAACTTGACACACTAGAAAGCCGAGCCAATAGCTGTTAATCACATAACAAATACGTCTAGAAATTCTTTACTGGTAATTTGAGGTAAATTTTTTTCTGCTTTGTCTTAAAATAATAAGTTATGCTTAAATAAGTAATAAAGTTATGTATCTCGTAAATAAAGCTATATTGAGGAGTTCCACCTAGACGGGAGTTCTACCTAGACGGGATTTCCACATAGATTGGTAAACTTTTAAAATTAACCTTAGGAAATTTTTTTTTCGTTGCAAAAGTATTTCACTACGTTAATCAGTTGCTTCAAAATCTGCATCTCATCTCTCTATTTCAGTTCATTCTCTTTTTATTGTATACCACTATTGTCAAAGTTCAATGTTAAATA